CCTCCTCCTCCTCCTCCTCCTCCTCCTCCTTCCTTCATTCCTTCCTTCCTTCCTTCCTTCCTTCCTTCCTTCCTTCCTCCTCCTCGTCCTCCTCCTCTTCCCAACTGGGCCCACGGAAGGGATTTGCCGTGTTCTGGTAGGGAGGGATTTGAGTTAGATCACTTTTCTCTTTTCTGCGCACGCTACGCCAGATCGGCCACAGAGGAATGCCTACAAGAAAGCATCAGAGCCTCAAGGGCTCAAGAGGGCCTCGAAGACCTTACAAAGCCCACCAGCTCTCTGGGCGTACTCCTTCTTCCCCTTCGGGGAGGGTTTCATCACTGTTCCCGATCAAGAAAAACACCAGCTCCCCCAGGCAACCAGCGGCCAACCAGGAACCATGATCACACCGCCACACCAGTTTAGTAAAAAGCAATACACAGCGCGCTCTGCCTCCGCATTTGGAGCATGCGCGGCCAACCCGACGCGTCCCCCCCACAATGACTCGGGAGGCCCACGAGCACTTCGTATTGTTTTTGATCGGGACGGCGGGAGTGTCAGCATGCTGCCTGCTGCGCGCAGGGCTACCATCCCTAGCAAAAACAACAATACAACATGCACCTCGCGGCGAAATCTGGATCGTGCGCGGCTACCCCTCGACCGCTGTCACATGGTTTTTGACAAGGACGGCGGGGGTGGTGGGGCGTATGGCCCGCTTTGCGCAGACCGCCAGGCACAATGATGGGCCCTGGTGTTCGACAAAGACGCTAGGGGCCGACATGTTTCCCAATGTGGGGCGCCCGAGTTATCCGGGGTAACTCGGGTCCGGGGTAACTCGGGTCTGGACTCCCGAGAAAGGAACCCGAGTTAGCCCTGACCCGAATTACCCCTGATGATGTGGGGCTCTGGACGCCCGAGTTATCCGGGGTAACTCGGGTCCGGGGTAACTCGGGTTTTGGATTCCCGAAAAAGGAACCCGAGTTAGCCGTGACCCCTGTTACCCCTGATGATGTGGGGCTCTGGACGCCCGAATTATCCGGGGTAACTCGGGTCCGGGGTAAGTCGGGTTCGGACTCCCGAAACAGGAACCCGAGGCAGCCCTGACCCGAGTTACCCCTGATGATGTGGGGCTCTGGGCGCCAGAGTTATCCGGGGTAACTCGGGTCCTGGGTAACTCGGGTTTGGATTCCCGACAAGAAGAACCCGAGTTAGCCCTGACCCGAGTTACCCCTGATGATGTGGGGCTCTGGACGCCCGAATTATCCGGGGTAACTCGGGTCCGGGGTAAGTCGGGTTCGGACTCCCGAAAAACGAACCCGAGTTAGCCCTGACCCGAGTTACCCCTGATGATTCGGGGCTCTGACGATGTGTGCTGCCGCGTGCGCAGGCGAACCTGGTAAACTCTGCGCGTGCCCCAAACGTGGCGCGCCCGGCGCGGCCGGAGCACGTGGCGCATGCGCACCAGCCGAGCCCGGCACGCTCGGGCCCTGGGGGTGCCCGGCGCGCGTGGCGCGCCGGGCGTGCGTGGAGCACTCCGCCCCAGCGTACAGTCGGGGCATTGACCTAAGGAACCCAAAATAAGGAACGAGGCCCCTTTTTTCCATAAGTTGAACTTCGTTTTCCTATCGAAAACAGAAGGAGAACCTGAGGCAAGCTGCGGAACACTCAAGGAACGCGGAGCCCCTCCCCAACGAAAAGGGTTCCTTCTTCAGGGCCCCGACTGTGGCGCACGTGAGGTCAGTTTTGGTTCCCAGGTAGCTGTCCATCCAAAGGCAACCGCTGAGCATGCTCAGGCTCGGGTGACACTCATGTGTTGGGAGGGCGGGTCGGAGTGAGCTCGACGGCTTGCTATCCCGGGGGTGTCTTGACCCCTCCCCCTACCCCCTCCCCTGGACCTGGAGGGGGGGTTCGCGAGGCGGTGGAGCGTCCAAGATAGCTCCAAGAGGGCCGCAGAGAGCCCTAGATGACCTCCAAGATGGCTCAAGATAACCTACGATGGCTCCAGATGGCGCCCAAGATGCTCCTAGAGGCCCCAAGACCGCTCCAAGACGGCTCCAAGTGGCCACGGAACCTTCCCAGGACGCCGCCTTGAGGCCAACATCCTTTGAACACGGAAAATCAATGAATGTTGCCTTCTCGCCTTTTCGCTTCCAATGGCCTTCCAAGGCCTCAAGACAGCTCCAACATGACCCATGAGGGCCCCGAGAGAGGCCCAAGAGAGCCCCAAGACGGCCCCAAGAGCGCTCCAAGAGGGGCCTAGAGGCGATGTTCTGGGCTCCCGAGGGGGGGTCGTAATTTGAGCTCCCATCTGTTTTGATCGATCTCCTCCAAGATGGTCCCAAGAGCGCTCCCAATGCTCCCAAGAGCGCCTCAAGAGGGCCCCAAGAGGCGCCCAAGAGGCCTCCACGAGGCTCCCAAGAGGCACCCAAGATACCCAAAGAGGCTCCCCGAGGCACCCAAGACGCCCCAAGTGATGTCCAAGAGGGACCCTTCCTCTGCGTGCTGCCCACATCACTGATCAAAACGACTCCTCTGGGCATCATGTCTGGGCATCCATCTGCATTGCCATCACGAATCCCCACAGACCTCCCAAAGCCTTCTGCAGCAACGACTGGGCGAATTCCACAATATTGCCTCATCTTCTAGTGGTCCGCGGAATGGCGTGAGCCTCGTGTATCTTTTGCCAGCAGAGGCAGAAGAAGACGGTGAGAAAGAAGACGGCGAACATGTGGATAGCGGAGAGGAGGCCGGGTGGCTGGCACAGCCCAGTCCTGCTGAGCAAGACTCGGCCAGGTTGTACGCCCCGCAGGCAGCAGTCAGCTTGGTCAGCTCATGGGCACCTGAGTTTACATGCACGCTCATGAGACGCGCAGAACATACTAGTACCATATGTCCACCTTGGAGGCGCGCGTCCGACCCGAACGTATAGTATACCCATCTTGTAGTAGATCGTTTCCCCAGCGGTGTGGCCTTGAAAAAGCACGCCACGACGCATGTACTATAATATGTCTCGGTGCGCGCGTCGCCCCTTGGGGGGCGACGCACAGATATTATGAATAAGTATGTTGGGGTGACGCCGAATTCGAATGTCCTGCCATCTCCTCCTCCTCCCATCTCATCCTACTTTTCCTCGTTCCATTATTAATGTTAGTTGTTGCTGTTATGGGGTAACACTTGAGACCCGAGGTGGTCCCGCTTGCAAACTGAGAAACAGGTATTGAAGGACAAAACGTAAGAAGACTCGGACAACGTCGAAGAGGGTCCCGACGCCTGGTGGAACGCTGTAGGGAACAAACAGGGGGATCATTTCGCCAAAGCGGAGGCTGGAATGGCACGCCATCACTCTGATATGGAACGGTAGCCTTGCGAGCCTCCAGAGCGCGGTGGAGGCTCCCCTGAGGCTTGTAAGGCTGTTGTGTCCACCGCCACAGAGGTGAAGCTAGGAATTCCTCAATCGATCGCACCCCCATCCACCCCTGCCTGCTGCCTTGAGGGTCGACGGGGAGGCGGCGCAGAAGTCCTGGCTATGGAAGTGGAGACGTTCGCAAGGGGTAGCTCCCCCTCCCCGTCCTCCTGGCCCCCCCATGGCGCCCCTCCCCACAGTTGGCGCTGAATGGCAGGAGATATCACCTCCCCTGCCTGAAAGCGGTGCAGGAGTTGCTGGCTACGGAAGTGGAGGTTCCCAGGGGGGGCTCCTCCCCCCCCCTCCTCCTGCCCCCCCCCCCCTGGCGTCCCTCCCCTCAATTGGCACTGAATGGCAAGGGATCTCACGTCCCCTGTCTGATCCCACATCTCGGATGTGAGATCAGACGTAAATGCATTGCCTCCCATCCGGCCTTAGACCTGTCACATTGGAACGAGCATCCACTGGCATCCGTGGCCGTCGCTGCAAGACTCCAGGACTCCTACACACAGGGGGGGGGGTAACGCAGCGGGGCCATGACGCTTCCTGACTGTCGTGGCGCAAGCCTCCGTCACAGGACCCACGGACTGAATACGCCTGACGATCGACACGTGCACCGATCGTTGATGTGATCGGGGCGCTCCTGCGGGCAAGCGGGATCCACGTCTGGAAGATGAGCCGCCCTCTCCTCCTCCTCCTCCTCCTCCTCCTCCTCCTCCTTCTCCTTATCGTCCTCCTCCTCCTCCTCCTCCTCCTCCTCCTCCTCTCAAAAACTTGTGCTCAATTCGAAGGGCCTGAGGCGAGCGCGCAAGTCTCGCACCGCGGCCTCGGCGGCTCGCCAGAGCCACCGCGCGGTGTACTGGCCCTTCTCCTTCGCCACGCCTGCGAGCATCCCTCGCCTCCTCCTCCCCCTGGCCTCCTCCTCCCACCTCTCCTCCTCCTACCTCCTCCTCCTCCTCTCCTCCTCCCCCTCAACCCCCTCGACCCCTCCCCTCCCCCCTCCCCCTCCCACACTCTCCCCCTCCCCCTCACCCCTCCCCCTCCCCTCTCCCCTCCCCCTCCCCCCCCCCCTCCCCCTCCTCCTCCTCCTTCCTTCCTCCTCCTCCTGCCACCATCCTCCACCTCCTCCTCCTCCTCCTCCTCCTCCTCCCCCTCCTTACTCTCCTCCTACTCCTCCCTCTCCTTCCCTCCTCCCCATCCTCCTCCTCCTACCTCTCCTCCTCCTCCTCCTCCTCCTCCTCCTCCTCCTCCTCAGCGGGGACATGTTGGTCCCGTCGCGCATCCCCCCAACATCGGGCCGCCTCATCCCCGATTGCCGTCGCGATTCGTGGGACGAGCCGCGTCCTGCCGTGGCGACTGAGCACCAACCAACACCCCAAGGGCAAAGGGTGTCGCTGTGCTGAGCCACGCGGGACTGCGAAGCCGAAGCCCTGCAACTCACGTCCGAGGACGTCACAACAACTGTGCCGACCCCTGCTGCGGCATTGCCTGTTCCCGCCAACCCCCGCCAAAGGAGCACCTTCTTCCAACGCGCCACGCCTGAGGGGAGAGGTGGGACAGTTAAAGGGCGAACCGCAGAAGGGGGACAACCATGAGGCGTGGGGAGGGAGATGGGATCGGAAACGAGACGTCCAGGAGGAGGAACAGGGAATGAAGGAAACATGGAAGCTCAGGGGAGGGCGCCGCCGCATTGGACCGGGAGGGAGCGCGAGGGCATAGAGAACGGGAGGGGGCTGGGAAAGGGGAGAAGAGGTAATGCGGTGAGGTGTTAGAGGGAAGATCACTCAAATGATTGGCAAAGGTTGTGCATCCAATTCCAGAGGTTCACAGCAAGCCCACATACACTTTCAGTGGGGCTCCAGGGGTTATACACGGCGCGCACCTCGGGTCAGACTTCTGAGTCGGCCTTCGTCAAGCTATCGTGTGTGCGGCAATTGAGGGTCAACTCATATACCGAAGTAGGTTTTGATTGTGTTCGCATCACAGGGGTGTGATTTCGAATCCACATCGACCCGCATCTCGCCGCAGATCTCGCCCGCAGGGCTAGGAAGGCTGAACGGGGGAATTATATCTCAATGAAGGGTCAACCTAGGGGCGCGAGTGATCGATCAAGGCTGTTCGAATTGCCAAATTAGACACGGAACGCTTCATGGTATCTTATTGGGCTCAGCTCGGGTCCACAGAAAGAGCCAACACCCGACATAAGCAGTGGGAGAAAATCACTGGTATGAGGTAGAGCGCCTGCGCCCTTGCAGCACTGAGCCCTGGCAAAAGCTTCGTTGCCCAAACGTTGCGGGCTTAGCACAACAGGTAAAGGCTTCCCGAGCCACCCAAGAGGTTGCCCCTGGCGATCGCCTCATGGCCGTGGTCCTTGCCATGGAATGCTCTCTCTGTTATCACCCCGCGAAGACAAACGCACTTATGTTGTATCGTGCGCGGGAGCCTTCAACGCAACCTAACATGTGATGTGCGCTATGTCTCCTGCCCCGTCGGCGGATTTGCTGGCGCGTTGGACCTAGCTCGATCGTGGGCGAAGCTTGATCTACACACCAGGGCTCTGCGGACCATCCCGGGGGAAATTCTGGCGGGTCCAGTGTAGACATGTCACCGACCTCTGGATCTGGAAGACGGCTCAAGAATTCACCACGCCATGCGTGCTGATCCCCCGACTGCGCCACGCCCTCGTTCGCCTCCGCCGTAGGCCACCCAGCGAATAACATGGCCCCGGCTAGACACAATCATCCTGTTGGTTGCCACGAAGCCATGTTGCTAGAACAAGACCACACAGACGCAAGCGCCCCCTTCCCAAGGGTATATGACGATTCTGGGTGCCACTCGCCATGTACGCTAAGACCTTCAGTACACACCACACTGGCGACTCCCCCGATTAGGCAAACTTGAATCACGCACTCGATATGCACCGTAAGCCTTTCTTTTTAGTCATCTGCGCGAAGGTTCTGTCCAAGAATGCGCCTCATGTGTTCCTGGGTTTGGAGCGTCATGTTCGCGCCTGCTGCAAAAGATGACAGGACAATGCTCGATATATGGTCCAGGGTTTGGGCCCCCCCCCCCCTCCCAATGCAATGCCGATGCCATTGGGCCCCCCCCCCCGCGCGATGGTCCCCCCCGCCCCCCCCTGTGGGCGTGGCGTGGTGCTGCGCTGCGGTTCCCCCCCCCCCCCTGTGGATGTGGTGTGGTGCTGTGGTGGTTCAGAGGTGGGCGTGGCGTGGTGCTGCGCTGCGGTGCCCCCCTCCCCCCCCCTGTGGATGTGGTGTGGTGCTGTGGTGGTTCAGAGGTCGTCGTCGTCGTCGTCGTCGTCGTCGTCGTCCTCGTCGTCTTCGTCGTCGTCGTCGTCGTCATCATCGGCGTCGTCGCCGTCGTCATCGTCGTCATCGTCGACGTCGCCGCCGCCGCCGGCGTCGTCGCCGCCGCAGCCGTCGTCGTCGTCGTCATCGTCGTCGTCGTCGCCGTCGTCGCCGTCGTCGTAGTCGTCGCCGTCGTCGTCGTCGTCGTCGTCGTCGTCGTCGTCGTCGTCGTCTCTGGGACGATACCATCTGGGGGGGGGGCCCGAGGAATCCTGGGACCATACCATCTGGGGGGGATGGGGGGGGGCCCGTGGGCCCGGAGCCCGGGACCATATATGAATTGTTACCGCCTTCACTTTTCATATTCAATGGGCACGTGGCGATTCTGACCTTCGCGCGGGCGTTGAAACATCATGGCGTCTGCAACGCTCAAAGCCACATGGCTTCCTTTCACAAATCGAATTGGGGAAACATTGAATCATTTCAACCGCCGGGCGGGCGGCGTCCACATCACCATACCGAAAAGAATGGCAGAAGCTGGGTTCATGATTGGTTGTCGTGGTACTTTGCGAGCAAGAGGTCTGGACGAGGGAAGGCATCGTGCAACAACTGCTCTCGTGGTCATAATCAATTCTCACGTGCAATAATCCTCCGATCCGGCGAGTGGGTTTAAAGGGGACGGGGTGACCAGGGTGGCTTCGCCGGGGTAGGGGGGGGAGGGGGTGGTTCTGGTGGCGTGGGTTCTGGAGGCGTGGGGGGAAGGGTGGGGGTCCGGTCCCCCGTCCCGCCTGTGGACAAGGGGAATTGGGGGAAAAGGGGGGGGGAGATTCTGGCGGCCGGGGTTGCTCTGCAGGGGTAGGGGGAGGGGGGTGGGTGGGTCCGGCGGCGTGGGTTCCGGTGGCGTGGACGGGGTGGAGGGGGGGGTCCAGTCCCCCGTCCCGACTGCGGTCAAGGGGAATTGGGGGAAGAGGGGGGGATGGGGTCCGGCGGCGTGGGTTCCGATGGCGTGGGGGAGGGGAAAGGGGGTTCTGTGGCGTTTGAGTTTGAACGAGCCTCACTGCAGCTACAGCCTCGAAGCTGAGCTTCAGCCTCTGGGGGGTTTGCCGGGGTGGCTCTGCTGGGGAAGGAGGGGAGGGGGGGGGGTGTGCGCGCGTGCGTGGGGCAATACTTGTCCGTGCGCGCGAGAAGGGAATCGGGGAAAAAAGGAGAAAAGAGTGGAACGGGACAAGAGCGGAAAACGGGAAACAAACGGGGGAGAAGACGAAGGTGGCGGTGAAATGCGTGTCTGTTCTGTGGTGTGTTTGTGCGGTGTTCGTGTTGTGTATGTGCGTGTGTTGCCGGCGTGTGCGTGTGTATGTGCCTGCGAAGGTGGCGCGCCTGTGTAGTGTGTGTGTGTGTATGTGTGTGCGTGTGCGTGTGCGTGTGCAATGTCTGCGAGCGTGCGCGCGCGCGTCTGTCGGCGAAGCGTCGCCGCCCAGTCTGGGGGGTACCCCAAGCGACACAGATCGGCGGCACTGGCCGAAGGCCACTACAAGAATTTTAGGCGAAGCGATGCATGACATAGTCCAGCTTGCTGTTGTCCTCGTCAGCCTCCTAGCCAATGCGTAACGTTGCTGGCAACCATGGGCACATGTTGAATTCTGGTTTGACCTCCAACCTCGTACATTCGCCCTCCTGTACGGTACACAACAACAGATATACATGTTCACTCGACGAACTTCTGACGCCATTAGACCTGGCCCGGCACAGAGACGGAAAGAGCGCTTCAGAAACAGAAACCGAAATTATTCACACCACCGTTCGTACTGGGAGCCTTGGCGTTGAAAGCTTGTTACGTCACCCCTCGCGTTGAAAGCTTGTTACGTCACCCCTCACTCTTGGGAGCCTTGGTGTTCAGATATTGTTTCGTTGCCGCCCGTTCCTGAGCCTTGGCTGGGCCTTGGTGTCAGGACCTTGTTACGTCACCGCTCTCTGCTGGGAGCCTTGGTCTTATCAGCTTGTTTACGTCACCGTTCGCTCTCGGGAGTCTTGGTGTGAAGAGCTTTTTGCGTTACCGATTGCTCTTTGTTTGGCGTCTCTGGGCCTTCCTCGGAGTCCTATTGGGGCCCTTTTCGGGCCCTTTTGGAGGCCTCTTGGGAACCTCTTGGGGGCCTCTTGGGGCTTCTTGGGGGGCTCTTGAGGCCTCCTGGGAGCGTCTTGGGCGAAAGCCTAGACTTTTCGGTTCGTGGTTTCCCTCTTGGGGCCGTCTTGGGGCCCTCTTGGGCCGTCTTGGGCGCCCATTGGGCCGTCTTGGGGCCCTCTTGGGCCGTTTTGGGGGCCTCTTGGGAGCCTCTTGGGCCGTCTTGGGGCGGTCTTTGGGGCCTCGTGGACCGTCTTCAACGCCGTGAAAGCCGAAAAGCCTCGTAAGCTAACATGTACCTTTTCCCCATAAGAAATCAATGATGATGGCCTCCTGGTGGCCTCTTGGAACGCCTCTTGGGGGCTTCTTCGGGGGCTCTTGAGGCCTCCTGGGAGCGTTTTGGGGCGAAAAGCTAGACTTTTCGGTTCGTGGTCCCCCTCTTGGGGCCGTCTTGGGGCCCTCTTGGGCCGTCTTGGGCGCCTCTTGGACCGTCTTGGGGCCCTCTTGGGCCGTTTTGGGCGCCTCTTGGGAGCCTCTTGGGCCGTCTTGGGGCGGTCTTGGGGGCCTCTTGGGCCGTCGTCAACGCCATGAAAGCCCCCAAGCCGTAGATGCTAAACATATACGTTTTCCTACCGGAAATCAATAAGTTTGGTCCCTTGGGGCCCTCTTGGGACGCCCCTTGGGCGCCCCTTGGGCGCCTCTTGGGGGCCTCTTGGGGGCCTCTTGGGCAGTCTTGGGCTCTCTCGGAGCGCTCTTGGGCCGTCTTGGAGGAGAACCCTAAAAACATGCAAAAACCCAAGGAAAAACCAGAAAACGGCCATTACAGCCCATTCGTGCCCGATGCGCCCCCCCCTGGAACCCCCCTTAAGAGCCCATCCGTGCCCGATCGCCCAAAACACAGCGTCATCACTCGTACCTCGCTCTTTCCGTTGTCCGAGGGACAAAACGAATAATGCGTGCACGAGCTCGCCATATCTGACCATAACCGAATGTATTTCGCCTGCTTGACATGAACGATCCGCCTTGGAATATCGGATTACGGATTACCCCCGTACTTAACGTAACCGCAACAAGCTAAGGTGCAAATTGACAGAAACTTCTGCTTGGCATCCTTCTTAGAAATGATCAGAACGCGACGTTCAGGAACCCCGCCCGTGCTTGACAGCCAGAACCCACCTCTTGTGGACAATCTCGAGCTCGCTCAAACTGGAGCCGTCTTGAGCAGTCCCGTGAAAACTTCTGCTGCATCAGTCGTGTGCCCTGTAAGATGTGCGAGGGCAGCGCAAGAGTCCCAAGCGCTCCCCTGCCTCGTCGGGCACTGCGCCCTTGGGCGCTGAAGGTAAAATGCTGCGGGCCATCCGAATGAGGCAACAATGGACGCATTGCAATACAAGTGCGTCTACAGACAGATTGGAAACCAGACGTGACACACGACTTCCAATGGACGGCCTGCACCTCTTAACAAAATAACTTTCTCGACCCGGCCTTACCAGGTTCGCGTGCTCGGCATCCCTGAACCTGGTTTCGGCCGCATCCTCTAGCCTGGCGCTGTGATAACCATACGTACACTTTCGGAACTCCGCGCGGATTTCTTGGATCAGCGCTGGACCACCCGCCATGGCGCGCGAAGCGCGTCAGGTATGGTACTGAAGGCGCCGCCAGTGCTCGGGGGCCCGTGCGCTTACCCAAGAAATCTGCACGGTGCTCAGAAAAATTATGTTCATGCGGTGTTTCCTTCTTCGGAGTATGTCAGAGGGGGAGGGATCAGAAAGAAACGGGGAAAAGCGGGGGAGGGGCTTAAAGAAGGGAGGGAAGAGACGGGGCTGGGCGAGATGAACTCTCACCCCCATTGCACCACCCGAATCGCGAGGGGGCCGCCGCCTGAAATGAACGCGGTGCTGGCGAACGTGATGAAGTGCGGAGCCTCCCTTGTCCACGGGCCTTCCGAAGCCAGAAGCTCCATCGATGGACCCAACACTGCAAGAGGAACCGAGCACAAAACATACCGAGACCGAACACACACAAATCCCACCAGCCCTTTAGGGCGTAGGGGTGTGGCCGAACAGTTCACAATCGTGTTCCGCCCTCAGCGTTTCATCGAATGACTCCGAGATTGACCCCCCACTGAAGGCCTCCTCGACAGAAACGTCTCGTGAAGACGCCTGCCTCCCAGACGTCGCTTGCGACTCTGTCCTAAGACAGCTCCGCCGAGAGAACAGGAACCGGGAGACTTCTCAAGACGTGTCTGCATCCCAGAAGGCCGGAACTCCCGGGAACCGAGATGGGGGACGCACTGACCAGGGCCAATGCAAACCCGGGTCCGTCGGGCTTTGCAGGATCCTGCAAGATCCTGCAGAATACTGTTTGCAAGCCTGGGTCAATGCAGCCCGCTCTGCAGGATCCTGCACGATCCGGCGCTCTGGCTGAGCCTCGTTTGCATTGACCCCCGTCCCCTGAGCCCCGACGAGAGCTCGCTCGACTGTCGCTCGAAGCTCGGCGGAGAAGCCTCGGGCGACCTCTCGCTCCCCAGATCTCTAACGCTAGGATCTTTGGTCACAACGTGGAAGCTGGGAGAGTTGGGCCCCATCCCTGGGACCGGGATGTCACCCCGAGTCAACCAGCCTCGAATGTATCCTTACCCCTGAGATCGACAGGCCAAAAGGCGATGACAGTCGGAGGGATGCGCCCTCGAAAACTGAGGGAAGCACTAAGATCGGCATCGAGATGAGGCGGTGCCAATCATAACCGCAAAGATATGTTCCAAGCTGGTAACGAATCGTTGCTGTTCACGGACCCGGGGTCCGGCGAGAGCCCCCCAGGGCCAAGAACAACAAAGACCAGTCGTGCTGATGCTTCCGTGACCAGAAGGGGGTCAGGGGAGACTGATTCCCTGGCGTGCCGACGTTGCGCTCCCGCTCGCTCTGGGCCGCGCCGCTCATGCCGCCGCTGCTCCGGAAGGCCAACCGCAGCAGAGGCACCCAAACCGTCAGGCTGGAGGCTCGGATGCCCAAATCGACTGACCTTCCTCCGCTCCCCATGCGGCAATTTAAAACCGTCCCCCTTTTCCTCTCACTGTTACATATATAAATATATGTGTGTATATATATATATATATGTATACGTATTAAATTATATGATATATCAACAGAAACGCTAGGAAATCCGACCAGCCCTCTGGGCGCAGGTGGTTTAAGGAGTTTCCTCTTCCACCCCTCCTTCTTCCCGTTTCGGGGGGGGATTATCACTGTTCCCTACGAATAAATACCCCCTCCCCCAGGCGACTGGGGGCCAACCCGGATCCATGCCGACACCTCCCCCCACCATCCCCTGTAAAAAACAATACAAACACACACTTTGCTTCCAAATTCGGAACATGCGCAGCCAACCCGATGCGCCCCCCCCCCCCCCCCCCCCCACCATCCCAGTCAAAAAACAAAACAAAGTACAGTTGGCGGCGGCGGCTGCTGCGGCGGCTGCGGCTGCGGCGGCGGCGGGCGGCTGCGGCGGCTGCGGCGGCGCGGCGGCGGCGGGGGCGGCGGGGCGGCGGCGGCGGCGCTGCAGCGGCGGCGGCGGCGGCGGTGGCGGCAGCGCTGCGGCGGCGGTTAGGCAGCGGGGGGCGGCGGGGGCGGCGGCGGCGCGGCGGCGGCGGCGGCGGCGGCAGGCGGCGGCGCGGCGGGGGCGGCGGCGGCGGGCAGCGGCGGCGGCGGCGGCGGATTGGCCCCCAATAGCTGCCCATCCAAAGACGACTGCTGAATATGCTGAGGCTCGGGCCAGACTCGGGTGCTACGTGTGTGTCGGGAGGGCGGGTGGGAGTGAGCGAGACGGCTTGCGGGCGGGGAGGGGGTAACTTGACCCCTCCACAATTACACAATATGATTATCCCGACAAAGCAACCTAACAGCGATGTGTAGAAGCATATATGAAAGCATTCCCCTTAAGATTCAGATGAAAATCCAGTTGTAGAATTCTGCTGTTCTCGCAGTCGTAATCGCATTCGCGATGACAGTCGCAGCGGCAACGGCAGTCGCAGTCACAGCCTCAGCCTCAGCCTGCCTCAGCCTCAGCCTCAGCCTGCCTCAGCCTCAGCCTGCCTCAGCCTCAGCCTCAGCCTGCTTCAGCCTCAGCCTCAGTCTGCCTTCAGCCTCGGCCTCAGCCTCAGCCTGCCTCAGCCTCAGCCTGCTCAGCCTCAGCCTCAGCCTCAGCCTGCCTCACCATCAGCCTGCTCAGCCTCAGCCTCAGCCTGCCTCAGCCTCAGCCTCAGTCTGCTTCAGCCTCAGCCTCAGTCTGCCTTCAGCCTCGGCCTCAGCCTCAGCCTGCCTCAGCCTCAGCCTGCCTCGGCCGCAGCATCAGCCTGCTCCAGCATTCAAAATGTGGCCCAGGAGTGGAGTTCTGGGCACTAGAAGAACACGAAGTGGCCTACAGTTGGCTCCGGGCATTCAAAATGTAGCCCGGGAATGGAGTTCTGGGAACTTGAAGAACACGAAGTGGCGTACAGTTGGCTCCGGGCATCCAAAATGCGCCCGGGAATGGAATTTTGGGAAATCGAAGAACACGAAGTGGCCTACGGTTGGCTCCGGGCATCCAAAATGTGGCCCGGGAATGGAGTTCTGGGAAGTCGAAGAGCACGAAGTGGCCTACAGTTGGCTCCGGGCATTCAGAATGTGGCCCGGGAGTGGAGTTCTGGGAGGTCGAAGAGCACGAAGTGTGTGACTGTTTGCAAAAAAACGATGCGGCGGCAGCCGCGGCGGCAGCCTGTCCGGGTCCCGCCCAGACCCCCCTGAGGGAGTCATGATGCTCTCTTTTGAGATCACTAGAAACCTATCAGCAAGAGCTGTTAGGTAAAAATTATCCCGGCAAAGCAACCTAACAGCGATGTGTAGAAGCATATATGAAAGCATTCCCCTTAAGATTCAGATGAAAAACCAGTTGTAGAATTCTGCTGTTCTCGCAGTCGTAGTCGCATTCGCGATGACAGTCGCAGCGGCAACGGCAGTCGCAGTCACAGCCTCAGCCTCAGCCTGCCTCAGCCTCAGCCTCAGCCTGCCTCAGCCTCAGCCTGCCTCAGCCTCAGCCTCAGCCTGCTTCAGCCTCAGCCTCAGTCTGCCTTCAGCCTCGGCCTCAGCCTCAGCCTGCCTCAGCCTCAGCCTGCATCAGCCTCAGCCTCAGCCTCAGCCTGCCTCAGCATCAGCCTGTCTCAGCCTCAGCCTCAGCCTGCCTCAGCCTCAGCCTCAGTCTGCTTCAGCCTCAGCCTCAGTCTGCCTTCAGCCTTCAGCCTCAGCCTGCCTCAGCCTCAGCCTGCCTCGGCCGCAGCATCAGCCTGCCTCAGCATTCAAAATGTGGCCCAGGAATGGAATTCTGGGAACTAGAAGAACACGAAGTGGCCTACAGTTGGCTCCGGGCATTCAAAATCATGCCCAGGAATGGAGTTCTGGGAACTTGAAGAGCACGAAGTGGCCTACAGTTGGCTCCGGGCATTCAAAATCATGCCCAGGAATGGAGTTCTGGGAACTCGAAGACCACGAAGTGGCCTACAGTTGGCTCCGGGCATTCAAAATGTGGCCCGGGAATGGAGTTCTGGGAACTCGAAGAGCACGAAGTGGCCTACAGTTGGCTCCGGGCATTCAGAATGTGGCCCGGAATGGAGTTCTCTGGGAGGTCGAAGGCACGAAAGTTGCGACTGTTTGCTTAAAACGACTTCTGCGGCACCCTGTCCGCACCCGCCCAGACCCCCCTGTGGAGTCATCTGCTGCCCTCTTTTGACCCTACTAGAAACCTATCAGTTTTCGCTGTTAGGTAAATACTCTCCCACTTCCCCTGATGCGTCCCGAAGATGGCCGCCCCCCCCCTTCCCCCCCGCGTGCTCTTTTTTTACACACAGGATTCCCGTGAAACGGGTTTTCGCCTGCGTTTTTTTCAAAATGCAGCTCTCGCTGAGGCGCCGGCCTCATTTCTGCTCCCGAATCGTTCCGAATCGTGCTCCCGCTGCAGCGTGGGCCTCATTTTCGGATCGGTGTTTGGCCTCCGTCGTTCAGGATGGCGTTCTCGCCCCAGCGCGGGCCTCTTTCTCGCGCGCCCATCCGCCCGCCACCACCGCACCACCACCACCACCCACCACCACCCACCACCACACCACCCCACCACCACCACCAGCACCAGCACCAGCACCAGCACCACCACACAGCACACAACCCAGCACCAGCACCAGCACACAGCACCAGCACCAGCACCACCACCACCACCACCACACAACCACGCACACACGCACGCACGCACGCACGCGCACCACCACCCAATACGCACGCGCGCGCGGAGCCACAGGTCCGCTACGACACGCGTCCGCGGATAGAGAAAATCAGCGCCATGGTAAGGGATGGGAGGGAGGGGTAGGACGTCAGATATGACGCGAGCGCACCTAGCTTGCCCTACCCCCTCCCCTGGACCTGGACGGGGGGTTCCGCGAGTCGTCGGAGCGTCCAAAACAGCTTCGGCGAGGAAGCCAACATCATTGGTTTAGCTTGGGTGTTTGCCCCATTTGGGTCTCCTGAAGGTTTTTTTTTGGAAGGCACGACGAACACCCTGCCGATCCACTCGTCCATATGTCCACCGCGGGCATCAGGAAAAGAGCCAGAAACGATACGAATTAGCCCCTAAAACGTATCAGCGCCGGCGGGGAGAGGGGAGGGAGGAGGAGGAGGAGGATGAAGAGGACGAGGAGGAGGAGGATTTTGGTCTCCTGAAGGGGGGACTGAAACTAGTACCCCCCCCTTCCTGTGATCGATCTCTCCCAAGATGGCCCAAAGATGGCCCCCAAGGCTCCCAAGGGTGCCCCAAGAGGGCCTCAAGAGGTGGCCAGGCAGCCCCAAGAGGCCCCCAGGATGCCCCCAAGAGGACCCAAGAGACCCCCAAGAGGCCCCAAGAGACCCCCCAGAGGCAACCAAGATGCTCCAAGAGGCATCGGCGAGAATGCCAAATCATTGATTATACAAGAAGGTGTTAGACACATGTTGGCCTCTTGTGGGGGGTGGGGGGGCACTGATTAAGATGACTCCAAGAGCGCCTGGGAGAGCCCAAGATGACCTCCAAGACGGCTCAAGATATCCCAAGATGCCTCATGATGGCTTCCCCTGTGTGCTGCCCACTTCCCTGATCGAGGCTATTCCTCTGGGCATCGTTTCTGGATGGGCTGGTGGGGATTCTTTTTTGGTCGCCGCCGCGGGCGAGAGCGCAAGCGGCGAGTCGGAAGTCCGGGGCGCGGGCCCACCAATTGACAGGAGGAGGAGGAGGAGGAGGAGGAGGAGGAGGAGGAGGAGGAGGAGGAGGAGAGGAGTAGAGGAGGAGGAGGAGGAAAGG